CCCCAAAACCCCAAAACCCCAAAACCCCTTATGAATTATTTAGAATAATTTTAGTAGTCATTAAATTAAAAATACTCTATCATTTAAAGTAATCAATTCTGCTCACATTAGGTGTAAGAATAGCTTTGAGAAGCTCAAAGTCTTAAATTTTAGAAGCATTTTTATGGCAGTAGTATCTCGTGTCTCCTACTAAAACTCTCAAAATGGGGCTATTAGGCTTGTCTTTCTCAGAATACTTTACCTCACTTATCTTTGCTGTAATCTCAGACTAAATTTTATTAGACCGAAAGATATTCACTTTATCATTAAGAATTGTTCTTATTTTAACTTCCTCAAGATTCGGTAGAAGCTCAATCTCAGATATTAAGAACGCTTGTCTTAGGTAACTTGTTGTCAGATAATTAATTTGGCCGAAAAACAAAACTGCCCACAATCCTGAATAAAAAAAGGAGAATCCTTATAGTCCAAGGGTGCTTAGAAAATATATTTGAGAGCCTAACTTGAATCCAGAGTATAATGTAAATGCTGCCACAAGATTATCAACCATATTAGCAGTCTAGTATATGTCTTTGTTCATCTAAAATACCAATATACCCTGGCCAGTCTCTTTATTAAAATTCAGAGTATTCTTATAAAAGTAGGTTTTTTTGCTTGAGACATCTTTTACAGTTCTATTTATTTTAGTAAATTCAAAGTTTGCTGGGTTATGTTCAAATTCTGGGATGTCTCCATCTTCTTTTTTCTATTATTGTTCTTGTGATATCATTCTTAGCTTTTCTTGGATAGATAATCTGGCTTAAGCAAGTTTTTCTTCACTAAAAAGTTCTTTCTCATCAACTTTGTACTCTTCAGAACCCATTGGTGGCTATTAGCTGTTAAAATCTTTAGAGAATAGCCGAAATTGCTATTTAATCAATAATCCAGTTGTTCTTTTCACTATTTAAGACCTGATAGCTTTCATTTTATATATTATATCAGTAAATCTATAATTAATTTAATACAAAGGGGTTTTGGGGTTTTGGGGTTTTGGGG